GCAGCAGACGTGATAGCTCATTATATGACTGATCCCAATCACCATACAACAAGGTCATTGTTTTTCGTTTAGCCATCCATGCCTTGTGATAAGTCAGAATATAACCAAATGTATTCTAAATGGATACCACTAACACAGAAACGGGCAGTCTTGGATTTTTTTCCACCAACAGCTTCACATAAGAATATATGATATCTGAATCTAAATGTATGTGGTATTGTGTCAAGGAGGTCATTGTACATGCGTGCTCTGCATTAAACATTGTGACGTCCCACAACATCTTCCGTTGTAGGTATGATACTCGTATCCTCCATTTACAACCAACATCATGGTGTATACACCTTACGAAATAAGTTTTTTGATCCGACTCCCTGACATAGAATTGAAGATGAGCTTTGATACATTACTCCTTGATTGCTAGTTGTGCCTCTTTTTTTGTTTCAAACTGAGACCTAATAGCCAACTCATATTACCGCTAGTCTGAAGAACCCCAGTGGGCAGCACATAACTCTGGCATATCAAATATTTCAGGATTTCGCATAGCATCGTAGTTAATGTCATGCATTGCAACTGCATGATGATACCGAGGTAAATCATGGTGATTGATTTTAGGTTGAGGGTCTGTCATTGCTCAAACATTTGGAGCATTCTGCAATCCTTGACATCGTGAAACAGTTGCCTCCCATACATCCGCCTCAATATCCAAACCTTGACCCTCTGAAGCAAGTTCAAAAAAATCGAACTCGTCAACTAATGTTGTGTCGTCATCGTCTACCAACGGAACAATATACAATATCTTTATCATCCTCGCTAAATTCAGCAAGGCTTTCACCGAACCGTCCAACAAGGTTATCATCACCATAACTTGCATGTGGTTGAGAGGGTCGTGCTTCTTCTGTTCTATGAGTTGGTACTGGTGACATCGGAATACTAGTTACATTCGTGGTTTCGACGTATATATCCAATTATTATCTGATGATTGATGAAGTTCAACCATAACAACAACATTGTCATCATCATCAAGCTGAACTTTTTCATATGTCACTGGATTTGAGGAGATCAGGTGTCGATAACTTAAACATGAAACAGAAGCTCCAAGTTTTCTCTCAATTTTTTGCTTTATTTGGCGATGAGATACATCTACAGAGAACATCATATTGATCGGTCTGTCTGACTTAAACACAACATCAAGATCAATTTGTAGAATTTTTCCATTATAATGGACAACTGTGAAGAATTTGTTGCTCATTGTTTGAAATAGTTTTGGTTAGATGAAAGGACTTTGTTGTGTAATAGATTGAAGATAAAAGGAGTATGTTATGTAAGAGATCGAAGATTATGTGTACAACTTAAAGGGAATTTTTTCCCGTTGGAACTCGTCACACTGCGAGACGAGTTCCATTGAAATTAAAAAAAAATCGACCGTTGAACAACAGTCAATCCAACGGTCAAAAAAGTCAAAATTATACCGAAATAAAAAATATTTTTATTGCGTGATGAGTCCCTCAAGATATATTATATTTATTTCGGCTATGAAACCCACCTGACACGACCTATTAAAAAATTATATCTCATAGAACTCATCACATCGATGTGACGAATTCCATAAGGACTTTTGTAATTATTGTAAATTTCAAATTAAATGTTTGGGGGTCACATGGTGGATTATTTGGCCCAGACCACGGATATGAGCATCATCATGTATCGATGAATTAAAAAATCAGTATCGAATCTTGTGTGTTAGAGAAAAAATTGGTCATATACGTGGAAGAATCACAGCCGTTTATTATATTGCACGAGAAATTTCTGCCCCAATTTCTCTCGTTCAAAGGAATTAGGTTTGGTTGATCAGATGACCAATGAGAGAAACTAAATAGGTGGGCCCTTATTTTCCTCAGAGGCCACGCGGCAACCCGACGCTGAGTAACCGTTTGTAATAAATAACAGAGTAAACTACACGGAGATCACTAAAATATGGTTAAAAATCGTTGTGATTATCGAATTATTTTTTATCTCAATCAGATTATTAAATTTTTTAATTAATTCAATCAGATCATCGCGTCGTTAATTTTTAATAAATGTAGTGATGTGTCCGTTAATAATTAATATAATTATATATTTGGTCTTTAATATTTACATATTCTATTAATTTAGTCACTATATTAATTCAATTAAATAAATTTAATTATCCAATTAAAATATGAGACGTGTCAATATATGATTGGAATGTTTTATTTATGAATTTTAAATTATTTAATTAAATAATTTTTCTATCTAATCAGGTGGCAACACGTGTCACCACCCAATTGAAATGAAAATTAATGGACAAACTTTTATCCAAGGTGAATCGAACTAGGGACAAGGGATTAAAGCTTCCAGCGACAAACCATTAAACCATTAGATCAAAGGTCCCTAATGGTTTAGACTTGTAAAAGTTTGTTAAGGATAAAAATTAAATAAATTATTATTTGATTAAATAAATTATTCATGACTAATTTTTAAATAAATTTTGGTTCGATTAATGATTAAAGAAATTTTTTTTGGTTAATTCGGTTCAGTTAATGCAACCAAAATTTATTTGAAAATTATTAACGAACCGAATTAATTTGAAAATTATTAATCGAATCAAATTAACCGAATTGTTTTTAAAATTATTAACCGAATTAATCGAAGAAAAATTTTGGTTAATTCAGTTTTGTTAATCGAACCAAAATTTATTTGAAAATTATTAACCGAAACGAATTAACTGATTTTTTTTTTAAATTATTAATCGAATTAATCGAAGAAAAAATTTGGTTAATTCGGCTCGGCTAATCGAACCAAAATTTATTTTAAAATTATTAACCGAACCGAATTAATTTGAAAATTATTAACCGAGTCGAATTAACCAATTTTTTTAATTATTAATCGAATTAATTGAAGCAAAAATTTGATTAATTCTTTTCTGTTAATCGAACCAAAATTTATTTGAAAATTATTAACCGAACTGAATTAATTTGAAAATTATTAACTGAACCAAATTAACCGATTTTTTTCTTTAACCATGAATCGAACCTAAATTTATTTAAAAAATTTTAATCGAACCGAACAAATTTCAAAATTATTAACTAAACCAAATTAACCTATTTTTTCTTTAACCATGAATCAAACCTAAATTTATTTGAAATTTTTTAACCGAACCGAACAAATTTCGTTTAATTCGGTCAATTTTTGAATGAACGAATTTTTTAAAATATTTTCTAAGTTATATAAAAATTGAATATTTTTAATTCAAATAAATAATTTACAATTAATTTAAATAATAATTTGTTTAAACAAATAATTTGTTAAATTTTTTTATCCTTAATAAACTTTTACAAGTCAAATAAAACTTGTTCTAACTGTAAACCATTGGGGACCTTTGGCTCAATGGTTTGCTGCCTGGAAGCTTTATCCCTTTGTCTCTGGTTCGATTCATCTTGGGTACAAGTTTCTCCATTTATTTTCATTTCAATTGGGTGGTGACACGTGTTACCACCTGATTGGATAAAAAATTATTTAATTAAATAATTTAAAATTCATAAATAAAATCTTTCAATCATATATTGACACGTGGCACATTTTAATTGGATAGCTAAATTTATTTAATTGAATTAAAATAGTGACTAAATTGATAGAATATGTAAATATTAAAGACCAAATATATAATTATACCAATTTATTAACGGACACGTCACCACATCTGTTAAAAATTAACGGTGCGGTGGTCTGATTGAATTAATTAAAATGTTTGGTGGTCTGATTGAGACAAAAATTATTTTGGTGGTCACATTGACTTTTAACCATAGTTTGTTAGTCTCCCGTGTAGTTTACCCTAAATAAAATCTCAGTACCAAAATATTTATTAATTTGGGTAAAGTACACAAATGGTCCTCAAACTATAAGGTATTATTTTTTGAGTCATTTAACTGTTAAAAGTTATAAAATAGCCCTTTAATTATAAAGTATTACTTTGTTAAGTCCCTTTTTGTTAAAAATTGATAGTTGTTTGAGCTAGACGATAACCAGTTGATTGGGATATGATAAAACATGATCTCATAATCATTTCAATTGTATAGTCGTTTGAGATTTTAAAATAAAATTTTATCATATTTAGTCAGCATGTTAACATCTAGCTTAGACTGTCCTCAATTTTTTTAACGAAAAAAAGACGAGATTAAAACATATGAATAGTCGGATGATTGTTTTGTAACTTTTAATAATCGATGGACTTAATAAAATAATATCCTATAGTCGAAGGACCATATGTAATTTTCAATAGTCATGGGAGTCAACAAAACAATTCCCTATAGTCAGGGGATCATTTGTGTATTTTCCCTTAATTTTTATAATTTCAAAGTTTAATATCTAGTTTGATCCTTGTATTTAGTACATTTTTATATTAGTCCTTATATTGTGTTTTTCGAACATTTTCAACATCTTCAATTTTTATTCCGTTTTATCACTTTTGAAAATATTTTAAATTTGTGTTTGGAAAGTATATTTTTATTTACTTTAAGAATATAAAAAAATCCTTAAAAACTCTACAAAGTAAAAAGTCGTTTTTTATTTTTATTTTTTGAGGATTTCTTTTCCGTTTTTTATTTTAATTATTTTTAAAGCTAATTTAGTATAGTTTTATTTTAAGAAACTATGATTTGAAAAAAATCATAAAATTTTATTTTTTTTAAAAAATATATACGAAAAAACCATAATTTATATAATTGACGATTTTTTTAAGATTTTATAATTTTTAGAAATTTAAAAAATGATTTTTTATGATAAAGATATTCAATCGGGTAACTTGAAGTCCAAACCCGAAAGCCAATTTTGACCCGTTAAACCCCCTATATAAGGGATCATTTCCCTCGGTGCATTCATCACCATCAATAGTCTTCTGCTACACTTCTTTAGCCAACTAACTCCAAAAAGCCTTTACTTGCCAGACAGTTTCACTTGTTTTCCGGGAAAGTTTTGTTCTTTTTTTTTTCCCTTCTGCCAACCCAACTAATCTCATTTATATCTGTATGGTGAAATCCTTTTTCGAAGCTTAATTTTTGTGGCTCTAAATCAAGTGAAAAAATTCATTTTCAGAGTTAAATCTGTTGTAATTTTCTTCTGAAGGGGTCGGCTGGGGATTTCGAAGTGTAGGGGGAAAAGAGGGTGTTTTTTCGGTGTTAGTAGGGTTTTTTGCTGGTTCTTTTGAGGGGGTGGCCGGGGCCTCGGCCTCGGCGGGTTTTAAAACCCCCAATTGTTTGACAACTATTGAAATTCGATAAATATTTTGAAAATTTTTACTTTAGTTTTTCGATTCGTTTCTTAGATCGTCGCGGGTTTTTTTTTTCTCAATGGGGATGCCGACCTTGGCTTGCTGCGTAGATGCTGCCGTAGCGCCTCCTGGATACGCGGGTTTCATTGCTGGGGACAGCTCCCTTGCCGTGGCGGTCCCATTTTCTTCCTCCACCACCGCTACTGCCGCCTCTGATGATTCCATTTCAACGAATTGGTCCCCTGCTCATTCCGCCGCTCTCTACCGTATTGACAGCTGGGGGGCTCCTTATTTCGCCGTCAATGACTCCGGCAATATCACGGTCCGTCCGTACGGTGCGAGTACTTCGGCTCACCAAGGAATCGATTTGCTGAAAGTAGTTAAGAAAGTTTCGGATCCGAAATCGGCGGACGGACTCGGGTTACAGTTTCCCCTCATTGTTCGGTTTCCCGATGTCCTGAAAAACCGGCTCGAGTCCCTTCAATCGGCTTTTGAATTGGCCATCCAAGCCCAAGGATACGAGTCTCATTACCAAGGCGTTTATCCCGTGAAATGTAACCAAGACCGGTTTGTTGTTGAAGACGTAGTCAAATTCGGGTCGCCATTCCGGTTTGGTTTGGAAGCCGGGTCGAAACCCGAACTCCTTCTTGCCATGAACTGCCTTTGCAAAGGAAACCCAGAGGCTGTATTGGTCTGCAATGGCTTCAAAGATGCCGAGTACATTTCCCTTGCTTTGCTCGCAAGGAAGCTGGCGTTGAACACTGTGATTGTGCTAGAGCAAGAAGAGGAGGTGAGATTGGTTATTGATATAAGCAGAAAGCTCTCTGTTCGTCCAGTGATCGGCCTCCGGGCCAAGCTGAGAACGAAGCATTCGGGTCATTTTGGGTCCACTTCGGGTGAGAAAGGGAAGTTCGGGTTAACAACCAACCAGATTTTGAGGGTTGTTAAAGAACTTCACGGTTCAGGGATGTTAGATTGTTTGCAATTGTTGCACTTCCACATTGGATCCCAAATCCCTTCCACTGCTTTGCTTCAAGATGGTGTTGGCGAAGGGGCGCAGATCTATTCGGAATTAGTCCGGCTTGGTGCCAACATGAAGGTTATTGACATTGGAGGCGGCCTTGGAATCGACTACGACGGGTCGAAATCTGGTAATTCTGATCTCTCCGTATCTTATGGACTTGAGGAATATGCTTCAGCTGTTGTTAATGCAATTCGGGTTGTTTGTGATCGTAAATCTATCAAGCATCCTATTATCTGTAGTGAAAGTGGTAGAGCCATTGTTTCTCATCATTCCATTTTGATATTTGAGGCCATGGGCGCCACTGCTCTGACGATCCCCGCGATGAACGAAATTAACATTCCGTTTGTTATTGAGGGATTGTCGGAGGATGCTCGGGCTGACTATTGGAATTTGAGTGATGCTGCAATGAGACATGATAACGAGACATGCCTGTTTTATGCTGATCAGTTGAAGCAAAGATGTGTGGAACAGTTCAAAGAAGGGACTTTGGGGATTGAACAACTTGGTGCTGTTGATGGGTTATTTGACTTGGTTTCGAAAATGATTGGTGGGTCTGAGCCAGCTAGGACTTATCTAGTGAATCTTTCGATCTTCACTTCTATCCCGGATTTTTGGAGCATTGGTCAGGTTTTTCCTATAGTCCCTATCCATCGATTGGATGAAAGGCCGGTAGTGAAGAGTGTTTTGTCTGATTTAACTTGTGACAGTGATGGGAAGATTGATAAGTTCATTGGAGGTGAAACAAGCTTGCCTTTACATGAACTTGATAGCGGTTGCGGCGGTGGTGTTTATGGGCGGTACTATTTGGGTATGTTCTTGGGTGGGGCGTATGAGGAGGCCCTCGGTGGAGTTCACAACCTCTTTGGTGGTCCGAGTGTTGTTACAGTGTTACAGAGCGATGGTCCACAGAGCTTCGCTGTGACTCGGGCAATGCCTGGCTCATCATGTGGGGACATCCTCCGGGCAAAGCAGCACGAGCCTGAGCTCATGTTCAACACCCTCAAGCACCGTGCTGAAGAATTTTGCAGATTTGATGCAGGTGCTTTATCTTCTAGTGTTGCTCACTCCTTGCACAACATGCCTTATCTCCAACTGGCGTCCTCTTGTTCGTTGACTGCCTTTAATAACAGTGGTTTTTACTATTGCAACCAGGAAGATTACAACGATGGTGCTTTGGTGGAGTCTGGGGCTAGTGAGGATGAGCAGTGGTCTTACTGCGTCGCTTGAGGCATCTTATCACTACTTTCTATATTGCTCGGGTTATCCGTTGTTTTAGTTTTTTATTTTCATTTCTCACTTTTAGTTGTTGATTTCCTTCTTTAGTTTGCGAAAGATGTTTAGTAGACAAGGTCTTTTGCATTTTCATTATCATAATGAAGGATTGGACCGGACTACACCATCCTTGTTATTGTTTCTTTGATGTAGACTTCCTCAGTTCTAGCTTTTAAAGTTCTCGTGTTTGTTCTTATTCTTGTTTCGATTCACTCTCATGGATGTTTGGTCTATTTTTGAACCCTTGTGCATGTTACTTGTTACCATGAATGTTTTCCAAATGCCTTTGCTTTGCCCATTAATTGTATTCCATATCTTATAATTAGCCACATAATAGTAACCCGCATCGTAATCTCGATGTTCATGTATATTAGTTTCTTGATGAATGTGGTTACCATGGGACATCATTTGAGCAGGGTTACCGTAGTTACCGTGCATCTTTTATTGAAATGTGGACTGTTGTTTCATATGTTACATTAGTAATGTCCTCTTATTCCGCCAGCTCTTGTTTGATTGTTTCCTTATTTATATGATTGTGATCGTATGTTCTTTTTCCGAGCAAGTTCCCAATATGTACTTTTTCATTGTTGTTTCAGTTTTAACACCTCCGTTGACCCTTGATTCCTAGGTTTGTAGATTTAGTTGTGGCACTAACTTGTCTCGTTTCCTCCCAAGTCATGGTCATAGCGTCCAGAATGAGAATGTGTTAATGAATTCATGCAGTGTCTCTCTGCATATTGATTGTCCAATGTTATTTGAGCTTCGGAACTGTGCTGTTGAGTGTGTATCTGATTGGCAGAGTACTGGAGTTTATTGCAGAAGAAGGCATCATCTCTATCCAGCTGAGGTAGGCAAATCATCTTTCAATTTGTATACACTTCATATTACGACTATTCACGTATTAGTTTTGCTCCATTTAGATCTAAGAAATCTATTACTTATCTGATTTGTGTCCTTTTGTTTCCAGTGGTTTTCTTAGAGATGATGGAGAATGCAATCGAGAGAGAGAATAACGTAACTCTTCCAAAGGGAACCAGTTAGCGGGCAAATCCACTTGAAGGACTGGTTTAGTTTAATCCTTGATGAACATTGCAATACCAATGTCACGAATATACGGTACTCGACTCGTATATTAATTTGTATTAACCCATGTAGAACATTACCTTAAAATAAAGTTAACTATTAGGACAGGGAGGCCTAAATATTATATATGAATTCCATAAACAATCCTATGCTTTCCGACATTCTAGGTGCGATAATGCCTTGTAATTGAACACATAACATGTTAAACGTGGGTCGGCCCCTTTAGAAAAGGTTAAGATACGTAAGATTCCGAAATTATGATATATATGTGGGGTTTGGTTCTCTTGTAATCATGTCTTTTGCTTACTTTAACTCCAAGGCATTCCCCTTTGTGACCCCTAAGCTAGAGCCCCGACCAATCTCCTGAAAGTTTTTAAACTTTAAATTCGTTGAGTCCGACATAGGTGGTGGTGGTGGTGTTGTGGTTGCTGCGGCGTCGGCAGCGAATGTGGGGCTGTCTTCCTTTTGTGCAACCGAAGCATGGTATAATCCTTTCCTTGTGTCACTTATGGATGCATGCCGTTGACATCAAGCCAATATAGTAATAGTCGATTTAACCGACAAATGGCTAACGGTAAAAGGTCGAAGGCAGATCTTCCCCATTTTCCAATGTTGAAGACATTTGGATGGGTGGTGCAATTGTGAGTGATGTATGGTTGTGGAAACTGAAGCTTGCTGCAATCTGTATATTGATGAAAGGACATAATGGGGGCCTATTGATCTTCAATCATTTGTTTTTTTTTTTAATTTTCTTTTTATTTCATCGTTGCACCAGTAACTTCCCATATGCAAATCTTAGTTTTAAAAGGCACATCGAGGCGCAAAGGGTTTCTAAAACCTAGACGTAAGGTGAAGGTGCGCATTTTTTATAGGCGAGGTGTACTTTTATACTAAAAGATCTATAAATCAATTCTATGGTATATTCACAATTATTATCCACTGGTTCACTCCTAAAACAGTTATATCGCCTCTCCAGCTCCTGTTCTTTCACCATTTCACCATTTCTTGTCCCTTCCTCAAGATGATACTACATATGTAGTATGTTTTTGGTGGAAGAGGCTATTGATAAGTTAGTAGGCTGTTAAAGGTTGGCTCTGGTTGTTGCTGAAGGTTGTCTCTGGCTGTTAGTTTGTTTGAAACGGTTAGCCCAGGTAGTCCATGATGGATCAAACTCCTTATGTTGATTTGCTAGACTAGGTTGGGGGCATAAAAGCTTAATTGGTTGAGGGCCAAAAATCATCTTATGGCCTACATTTCTCACTTTACATGCTTGCTTTGCTAAACCTAATTGTGTTTGCAGCCACCGTTCAGTGAACTGTTTCACATCCAACTATATTCATGCATGTTTGGCTAGAAGAATGTGCTGTTGACTCTACCATTAATTGCCTCGGTAACAGCTGTAGATGATGTTCACTGTATCATCTCAAAGGCCATTTAATATAAGTTAACACAACCGTTAATGGTCTTGGAACAGCTGTAGAGGATATTCACTGTATCATCTCAAAGGCTATTTTATATACTATGATCTTCCTCTTCTTTAGCCTATGGAATCTTTGAGCTTCGGTTTACATTTCTTCTCTAGTCAGTACTTTGAATTTTCGGTAAAGGCACGCGATGGAAGAGGCAAACAAAGGAAGAGGCGCCTGACGCCTATGCAGAAAAGCCTCCCAAGCATGAGCCTAGGAGGACTTCCCATATTGCGTTGCGCCTATCTCTCCAAAGGCGTTTTGCTCTGCATTTACTTGCGCCTATCGCCTTAGGTGCGCCTTTGAAAACTAAGATGCAAATATTGACTTGAAGATGAAGGAGAATAATTGCATATTATTGTGCAATCTACTCGTTAGACTAATAAATAATAATAATGATTAACATAGGTCAAATAAGGGTAGCTTCTATCTAGTATTGTTCGGATGACTTGTTCAAATCATTTTGGGTTCGGGTCGTTCTGTATTTGGGCACGAAACACAGTTTCAAGCATTTTAGTATTGTGATAATGCATGCATGCATACTAATCTCATCAGGAAGTTTATGCGATTACAAGTACATTGGAATTAAGAACAAAAATAGTCTTTGGAATCATTCACAAGTCTAGCAGAGAACAATGTCCTAACATCCTTATCATCACCTCATTGTTTTTGTTTGCAACAACTTAGTGGACGTAGCCCTTGACGAACATTCCTTACTTGACCTCCTCTGATTCTCCTTGCCGGTGTATTTGCGGAGCTGGGCAAGCGAGTTAGTCTTGGCACGGACAGGCAGCATGTCTTGGGTGGCCTTAACGTTCTTGGGTCTGCCTCCCCATGTTTTCAAGCAAGTGTTTTTGCGATTGATTCATTGCGTTTAAGTTGAGGGTTGCTTCAACCTCGGATTGCCCACCAGACAATAATTGTTCAATGAAAACCTCAGCCCAAACCATGCTCACCATCAATTTCCGGCTCCACCATCGGCACCACACCATTGTCCTGCAAACAACAATCCATGCGAAGATTTACATTACCATCACATGTGTTTATCGCGATTACGCATATTTATCGCGATTACGAACATAATATATGTTATCACGATAAATGTCATGTTGTTCTTTAAACTTGAGAAATTGCAGCATAGCGGCAAGGCCCCAAGCTGCTTCTCTAACTGCAAAGGCAGATGGACCATTTGGCGAAACGAGCACCCTGATGGTAGTAGGCAGTTGTGCGAGATGAAAGACCATCGAGACCTTGGCACCAAGTAGGGGTGGGAATAGGCCAGGCCGGCCTATAGGGGCCTGGCCTGACCTGGCCTGACCTATTTAACTAAACAGGCCAGGCCCAGGCTTTTTTAAAAGCTTATTAAAAAGCCTTATAAGTCTGATAGGCCGGCCTATTTAGAGTGACTACTTTGTAAAATATACTAAGTTAGAGTGACTTAATAGGGATTTTACTATAAAATTAATGGCTAAACTGAAAATATTAAATGTTTATTTTTAAACAGGCTTTTAAACAGGTCAGACTTTTAAACAGGTTCAGGTCAGGCCTAAATAAAAGCCTTTGACAGGTCACAGGACAGGCCCATGCCTACACAAATCATTGTAGGCCAGGCCCAGGCCTATTAAAGCCTGGCCTGGCCTGGCCTATTCCCACCCCTAGCACCAAGACTCGTTGTTGGAACCAGGGAGCGGCACCAAACCCCCTGGCATTGAATAATATATGTAAAAATAAGTGTTCAAACTATACCTAAAATTAATTTTAGGTGTCTAAAGAACTTTTTTTATTAAAAATAGATGTATAATGTTTCAAACGTTACACTTTTAGGTGTTTTGATCGTTAATACTATTAAATTCGGCCATTAAGTGACACGTGTCATACATATAAAATCCCAAAATCTTTTAAAATATTAAAACTTGTATAAGCCTAATACTTATTGTTTAACGACAAAATTAATTCTTTAGACATCTATTTGTAACTTTGAGGGTAAAAAAATCACTAAGATTTTTCACTTTGTTCTTCTTTAGGTCTTACAATTGAAACTCAATCCTGGACCCTCTTCAATTTTATAATTAATATAAATATTTTCTTCCTAGTGGTCGTTGGATGTCTTTCCAATTTGTTCAAAAATGACTCCGCGATCTCTCACCTTTTATTTGTCATTTCAACGACTTAAATCTCTATTCCAAAGTCGAGCTTGATCAGGCTGAGAACATTGATTTTTTTTTTTGGAAGTGTTTGGGCTTTATTTGAGCCACAAAGTCAACAAGAGGAAAAGTCAAACTTTATTTTCGTCCAACACAAACCTTGAACTAATGCATTCTATTAGCTCTCGTCTCGGTTTCCAGTTGGTGACATATTTGGATATTTATCTTAAGAGTTCTTATTTTATATAAAAGGATACAATATGAGTTTTATTAGTGGTTTCATCTTATTTCATACAATTTTGCTTGCTTCATGTTCTTTTGGAACCAGTTTTTCTTTTTGAAAGGAAAATAGGAATGACGGAGAAGATAGATTTTACAGTAACAAGCAAAAAATATATTGTTTAATTTGTGTTGAAAAAAGATTTATTTATTGTTATAAACTTTAATTAAATCTAAATTATTTATTTATTAGGTAAATTACATATTTAGTATGTAAACTATTA